CCCCCCCCCCCCCCAAAAAAAAAAAAAAAAAAAAAAAACCCCTCCCCTAACATAAAACCACCACAAAAAGGTGAGATTGAACCCTATGTAAGTTTATCCCATTCCTATTCTCAATTGTGGCTAGCAATCACCTGGACCTTGGTAATACTCATTCATGAAGCTGAATGCTTGATAGATGATAGTATGTAAGTTCATCCCTTCTCGGTCGGTATTGATGTTAAATGACGTTAAGAGAACCTTAGGCACAACACCCCCTCCCCCCCTTTTTCCCAACAAAAAAAAAAATACAGGTAAGTGCGCTATTGTTTCTTCTGCATCATTCTCTAATCTTTTTCCCATGAAGCAGCTTGGGCGACCAATGTATATTGTTCCACCTAGAATGTAACAATTTAATTCTGTTCATAGAACACACATTAGAAACCCGCAACTTGAGAGTTGTGTTGAGCATTTGAATTCACATTTGTTTCTGACATGGATAACTATTATAGTTATTAATTATTAAAAGTATGTTATAGACAAACTAGCAATTGTAATAATAAAAATTGATTATTGATCGTGTAATATTTATATTTTTGTTTACTTACATAATTTAAAATTAAAATAAANAAAAATTGATTATTGATCGTGTAATATTTATATTTTTGTTTACTTACATAATTTAAAATTAAAATAAACAGAGTAGAAAATAAGAGAGAAGAGGGGGTCGGTGTGGATTAGTGAGTTGGTTAGTATTGAGAAGTGTGTTGGTTAAGTTGTTTGATAGAAGATGTTTTTGAGCCAATTTGAATTGTCTTGTTGGATCAAAATAAATAAAAAAAATTGATTAATCTTGACCGTTGTTATGTTTCTTAACTGTGAGTTGAGAATTCAGTTTCGTAACTGTAATATTATATAAATTATTTATTTTAAGGGGTTGGATCATATTTCCATTTGATATATTTGGGGGGATGTAGTTCTTACAGGAGGACATACCTGAGATGGTGTTTTTCAGTTGACATCATTTTCTTTCGTTATACTAACAATGGTCAGACAGAGTGAGTCTGTATATTATGATTTGTAAAAAAAATCAAGGGGCCGTTGAATTATTATTGAAATGTCACGAGATCGTTGTGTGATTTTACCAAAGATCGGGGGTCCCTGAGCAATTTTACTCTATAATAATTGATATAATTGCNATCAAGGGGCCGTTGAATTATTATTGAAATGTCACGAGATCGTTGTGTGATTTTACCAAAGGTCGGGGTTACCTGAGCAATTTTACTCTATAATAATTGGTATAATTGCATTAATCAATCTATATCCAAGTCTAGCCATCCCCTCTGCTCTGAATATGGCGTATCATCACCATACCATGTCAGTGGAAAGAGCTTATGATGCAGAGGACTGATGGTGTCCTAGTTTTTGACTCTTGCGTTTGTTGTTGTTGGGAAGAAAACGACACAAACACGGCCAGATGAGTGGATAAGGCTAGAGTAGATTTTTTTCCAGATGCTCCATGCTATAAGCTGTCGTTTCATTAGTCAATAGGTTTGCCAAATGGAGGACGAGAATATGGTTCTAAATATGCTGAAGTTAATAATTCTTTTCCAGATTGATACTTCTCACTAACTATGTCCAATTTTGACCTCGTTTCTTACCACCTATACATGAGAAATGATCTATCACCAAGTAAAATTGAGAAAAAATAAAGTGGAAAGGATCTTAATCTCTCAATAATAGCAGTACACTTATGTTTCGTTTGGTATGATAGAAAAATAGAATGATTGAAAGTTGGAATGATGAAAAATTGGAGGGATAAATAAAATATCTTGTTTGGCAAGGAAGTAAAATAGGAAGGATGAAAAAGTGAATGAATTAATTTTCTTTTTAACTCACCAAAATTAATCACTCTAAAATCGGAAAGAAAGTGAATAGAAAATTAATTATTTGTGTTGAGATGTATTTTATTTGTCTATATATATTTTTATATATATATATATATTATGTATACATTAATTTCATATAAAAATACAATAAGAAAATATGTATTTATATATATTAAAAAAAATTAAAATTAAAAAAAAAAATTTCATTTTAGCTAGGGATAAAATTTTTTGACTCAATACGATAACACGACTTAAACTCTTGAATTGGAGATGAATTTTATAACACGAACTTGATTAATTCAAACACGAATACCACATGAAAATAAACATGTTAACTCGTAACTTGACATGACACAATTAATTAAATGAGTTGAGTTAAGTGTGACTAATATTTGACACAAGTCCGTAATGACTCGACACAAATCTGACACAACACGACTCGTTTGTCACTCCGAATCTTAGCAAGTACTAAAAAAAAAAAAAATTAGTCATTTTTATTTTTCATCCATCCAACTAAACACAAAGGAAAGAAAATGTATCATTCCTACTTTTCTTCCTTAAAAGATAGAAAATATATCTTTTCTACCAAACGAAACGAAACGAAACATTAAGCAAATTAAACTAAGGCACCAATTTTATATGATTGGTATCCATAGTGTGGGGCTCTTTAAATGTTTTAAAGAACATGTCTAGACCATTGTTAAATAGGTTTTGTACATACATTTGGCATCTAATTGACTGCATGACATACACACATGCATATATGGTGAAGGTGACCAGGACAACATACAGATAAGTGTAAACTAGCAACTTTATTGGACCCCGACAAAGTACAAGGCACCAGAATAATGTACGTATCTCCTGCAGCACACTTTTTTACAGTTAAAGCTTTGTTTGGCATTTAATACGCCACCTTTTTAATTCTTCCGTTTCCCAAGCCAGGCCAAAACCCATGAAACCGGCAATGGCGCAACCCACAACAACTTTACAGTCACATTCCCCCGTTCTTCTTTCTATCAAAACAACTGCACACTTTGTGCTAAACAAATTAAGATACTGAGATGCACACCAATCCAACCACATGAATTAATACCACGAAATGCATTAAAGAGTGGATCAAATATGACTCCATTAGCGTTACGTTGTAACACAATTCAATAATAAAGTGTCACATGTGTAACTTACGCATGTCATATATATACCTAATAATGTAATCAAACCATATATTTAATTTAAGATAAAGATATATGAGATTATAACATACACAATTGAGCCCAATATTACAAAATGGTGTGCATTGATAATGTGACTAAGGATCACAATTTTGTTTTGAAACAATCAAAATTGTTACAATATTTTTGTTTTTGCGAAGATCAAAACGAATTAGTGATGTAATTAAAATTTTAATATTTTAGAGAGTTTCATAATAATATTTTGTAATATTTCAATACATTTATACAATTATTTTAGATTATTTTGAAAAAATAATTTTTAATTTTATTTTTAAAATGGATCGAAACAGTTTTATTTCATATATGATCAAAATAGTGTATCGAGGTAAAATTTTGACAAACATAGCTTTGACTTGCAGAGAGGTATCCCTTTCAGCACAGCAAAAGACTATCGTCCCCATAAGAGACCTTTGGTTGGACAAGTATAAAAGAGGGCAAACTAGGTTTTTCACAATGCCTCGAGTCCCAAGCCCTAGTTCCAGACTTCAGACACCAATTAGTGGTCTCCGAAAAATATAATAAAAAAGGAATTAAAATAGAATTAGTGCAAATGATTCTTCACCAAAAGGAATCAAAAGAAAAGCATAGAAATTGGCATCCATTGACATTCAAAGAATAAGAAAGTAAAGGAGGGTAAGGCCTTAGTTACTTAGCTCAATAAGTCATACACTTTATTATTAAGGGTGTTTAAATTAGTTTATAGTTATCGTGATTAATTTTTTTTTTATTTGATTAAAGATAAGTTATCTATACCAAAATTAAAAGATTTATAAAGAATAAATACGTAATAACCTAATCGTAAAAAATTGTCAAGATTCNTGACCTAATCGTAAAAAATTATCAAGATTCAAATTTAAGAATTTATAATTCGCGCTATTCGTTCATATTATCACTCGGAGGCGGAGACAAGAATTAAAAATATAGATATTAATTAATATNCAAGTAAAATTGAGAAAAAATAAAGTGGAAAGGATCTTAATCTCTCAATAATAGCAATACACTTATGCTTCGTTTGGTATGATAGAAAAATAGAAGGATTGAAAGTTGGAATGATGAAAAATTAGAGGGATAAATAAAATATCTTGTTTGGCAAGGAAGTAAAATAGGAAGGATGAAAAAGTGAATGAATTAATTTTTCTTTTAACTCACCAAAATTAATTATTTGTGTTGAGATGTATTTTATTTGTCTATATATATTTTTATATATACATATATTATGTATACATTAATTTCATATAAAAATACAATAAGAAAATATGTATTTATATATATATATTAAAAAAAAAATTTCATTTTAGGTAGGGATAAAATTTTTTGACTCAATACGATAACAGGACTTAAACTCTTGAATTGGAGATGAATTTTATAACACGAACTTGATTAATTCAAACACAAATACCACATTAAAATAAACATGTTAACTCGTAATTTGACATGACACAATTAATTAAATGAGTTGAGTTAGGTGTGACTAATATTTGATACAAGTCCGTAATGATTCGACACAAATTTGACACAACACGACTCGTTTGTCACTCCGAATCTTAGCAAGTACTAAAAAAAAAAAATTAGTCATTTTTATTTTTCATCCATCCAACTAAACACAAAGGAAAAAAAATGTATCATTCCTACTTTTCTTTCTTAAAAGATAGAAAATGTATCTTTCCTACCGAACGAAACGAAACATTAAGCAAATTAAACTAAGGCACCAATTTTATATGATTGGTATCCATAGTGTGGGGCTCTTTAAATGTTTTAAAGAACATGTCTAGACCATTGTTAAATAGGTTTTGTACATACATTTGGCATCTAATTGACTGCATGACATACACACATGCATATATGGTGAAGGTGACCAGGACAACATACAGATCGTTTCTACTCCTGCTAATAGTTTAGCACATTCTTTATTGTTACTATGGGGTCCTGAAGCCCAAGGAGATTTTATTCGTTGGTGTCAATTAGACGGTCTATGGACTTTTGTTGCTCTCCATGACGCTTTTGGACTAATAGATTTTATGTTACGTCAATTTGAGCTTGCTCGATCTGTTCAATTGCGACCTAAGTGTAAACTAGCAACTTTATTGGACCCCGACAAAGTACAAGGCACCAGAATAATGTACGTATCTCCTGCAGCACACTTTTTACAGTTAAAGCTTTGTTTGGCATTTAATACGCCACCTTTTTAATTCTTCCGTTTCCCAAGCCAGGCCAAAACCCATGAAACCGGCAATGGCGCAACCCACAACAACTTTACAGTCACATTCCCCCGTTCTTCTTTCTATCAAAACAACTGCACACTTTGTGCTAAACAAATTAACATACTGAGATGCACACCAATCCAACCACATGAATTAATACCACGAAATGCATTAAAGAGTGGATCAAATACGACTCCATTAGCGCTACGTTGTAACACAATTCAATAATAAAGTGTCACATGTGTAACTTATGCATGTCATATATATACCTAATAATGTAATCAAACCGTATATTTAATTTAAGATAAAGATATATGAGATTATAACATACACAATTGAGCCCAATATTACAAAATGGTGTGCATTGATAATGTGACTAAGGATCACAATTTTGTTTTGAAACAATCAAAATTGTTACAATATTTTTGTTTTTGCGAAGATCAAAACGAATTAGTGATGTAATTAAAATTTTAATATTTTAGAGAGTTTCATAATAATATTTTGTAATATTTCAATACATTTATACAATTATTTTAGATTATTTTGAAAAAATAATTTTTAATTTTATTTTTAAAATGGATCGAAACAGTTTTATTTCATATATGATCAAAATAGTGTATCGAGGTAAAATTTTGACAAACATAGCTTTGACTTGCAGAGAGGTATCCCTTTCAGCACAGCAAAAGACTATCGTCCCCATAAGAGACCTTTGGTTGGACAAGTATAAAAGAGGGCAAACTAGGTTTTTCACAATGCCTCGAGTCCCAAGCCCTAGTTCCAGACTTCAGACACCAATTAGTGGTCTCCGAAAAATATAATAAAAAAGGAATTAAAATATAATTAGTGCAAATGATTCTTCACCAAAAGGAATCAAAAGAAAAGCATAGAAATTGGCATCCATTGACATTCAAAGAAGAAGAAAGTAAAGGAGGGTAAGGCCTTAGTTACTTAGCTCAATAAGTCATACACTTTATTATTAAGGGTGTTTAAATTAGTTTATAGTTATCGTGATTAATTTTTTTTTTATTTGATTAAAGATAAGTTATCTATACCAAAATTAAAAGATTTATAAAGAATAAATACGTAATAACCTAATCGTAAAAAATTGTCAAGATTCAAATTTAAGAATTTATAATTCGCGCTATTCGTTCATATTATCACTTGGAGGCGGAGACAGGAATTAAAAATATAGATATTAATTAATATACACTCAGCACCATAAACACAAAGCTTCAAAAGTTCACATTCATTGGCCCACGTATCCAATTATATTCACCTACTCCTAATGAACAACGCTTAGCTACTAAGCAAAAAATTAAAAATACACAATCAAAAAGACATATTTTCTCTGGAAAAATAGTCGGACAACAACTTCTCCGGGACAATGACTTCCCGCCGGCTAAATGCCCCAAGCTCAGGCATTCAAAACCAAAAAGGAAAATAAACAAAATGCTTAATGAAGGTACCATTTAGATTGTAGAATATAATCTAACCACCACCCACTCTGTATAACTTTTTCTTCCATCCAAGTTTTAAAAAAGACTGATTTTTTTTTTTGTTCTTCTTCTACATGTTCGGATTCCAAAGACTCCACAGACGAGAATTGAATAATCCTAACAGGTCCGGAAATACCTTTCTGGCCAAACCCTTGTGGTTATTCGCCGCCGTACCATACGCTGTCTCCGGCAAATTCTCTTTAGCCATTCCCGTTTCATCTTCTCCATTTCCTGACACCAACTCAGCCATTTCCGGTGAAGAAACCTCTTTTGTTGGCATAATCTGAACCAAACTTTCTTCAAGATCCGGCGATATATTTTCTCTCTCCGGCAATGGAATATCAGACACAGTCGCCAGTTTTTCAGTCCCACGGCGACCCATTTTCTCTTTCTTCTTGTTTTTGCCTTTCTTTGACTGTTCACCATGGCTCAAGTGTTCTTCAAATGCTTCAATGGCTTGGTGAATCAATTCACGGTTGGGAGAAGAGTCCCACCTGAACCAATAGCTAGTATAGCAATCAAAACACTCACAATCAAACACGGGAGGCTTGTGGGAATTGGATTTCTTCCTGTTTTTCTTCTTTTCTTCGATGGCCGATGATGCGTTTGGGGACTTCATGGACCTTGTGATCATATATGCCAAAACTTCTTTGTCTTCAAGAGACAGAACTGCGGCTAGGGCTAGAATAGCCGCCGGTAAGAGCTTTAAAACGGACAAAGCGTCTCTGTTTGGAGAGTATGAGGGAAAAGATGATGAGGAAGATGGAGAAGGGTATACTTTACCTTTGTTTCTCATCTTCATGTTGGGAAAGCTCAGCTTATAGAAGGGGGATTTGGGAGTTTGGTTTGGATGTTGTTGGGGAGAGAAAAGAAGTAGAGAGAGAAAGCAAAAGAAAGGGTTCTGATGTTATCAGATATAGCCAAAGAGAGAGAGGTAGGGTTTTATTTTCTTGATAGACACGGCAGAGCAGACGGGGTCAGCCGTACGTTTTTTGTTCCTGGTTAGAGTTGGATTGTCATCACGCGATACAAGGACGCGTGTATTTTTATTGCTAGCATTAATCTCCCATCCCAATTTATATCCATGGCGTGGAATGCTGAGGCCATTGTCTTGTAGTGGGTGGGAAATGAAGCAACCTTTGAGATTGACTTCAAAGTATAGAAGGAGGCAATGTCCAAGTTGTTTTCACTTGCTAAAGAAATAGTGTCTAAGGCCTCTAGGCAGATAAAGGGCTTCAAGTTCCCATGAAAAAAAGGCAAGCCCACCACCAACCCATGATGAAGAGTTTTGGTCTATGGTGGAGAAAACAGGTGAAGCACAAAAAACATATTAGTCGAAAAAATTGTCATAAGATGATCGAAAGAATTGATGAGTTGAGTTTTGACATTCATTTTCAAGGCTTGTGTTTTGCTATGTTTAAGTTTCAATAATTCAATTATCTATTTTGTTTATTGCAACCACTAGTTGATTTTTTTTCCCTTTTGAGTTTATTGCAATTGTTTGTTGTAATATTCTATAAATTTAGGACATATGTATACAATATGAAATACCAAGTGACCAGATTTATCAATTGATATGACGGTGGGATCCAATAGGGTCCAATAAGATTGATATGGATAATAGTGTCTTGACAGTATTTCAACGTCGTGGCAAGCGCCTAGCACCACAAAAGGAAAAGACACAATACTAGCATATTAGAAGTAGCAAAACAGACCCTTAATTGAGGACGAACAAGAGTGGCAAAAATAGGACACAAGACTAGGATTGTACAACCAATGAAATTGGTATTCTCAACCTACTGGACATTGTTGCTCAACTGGTCCTCTGGATTAAGAGAAGAGATCCCCACCTAGGGACATGACTGTATGACCTTTCTCAAGAGAAAACTGAGCAACGTGGGTAGATAAGGATGATTGTAAATCTTAGTTTGGAGGTAGGGTCTTGAAGGTTTTGTTTGATTGAGCAAGCCTCTCAGTGTGTAACCCACTACCCGCTGGGATGTGTTTGACTGGGATCTGGAAGGACTCTTAAGGTAACTGAGGTTATTGATCTAGATTAATATATGGGCTAATAAGATTTGTAGATTGGTGATTGAAGGACCGAAACTATGTAATTTTTCTCTATCGGGCACCTTGCCACAGTTAAGAGTGCGCTTGGGGTATTGTGTACATGACCCTCTCGAGGAGGTACAATGGATGTGAATTTACAAGTTGCAATGGATGGAAGAGAGAATGAGTGAGATGAAATAAAGAGGAGAGAAAAAAATTTATATATATACTAGTAATTGCGGGTGTCTGAAGGCACTAAATGACAAAAAAATGGAAATTATAAACTTGTGCATTAGCAAGAGACTTGCTTTCCTCTTTGTATTTTAATATAAAGATAAAACAATTCTAATCTAATCACATAAGAAACATGCAAAGAAAAATCTAACCATAGCCCTTAAATATATGCACATGCAAAAATGATAAATACAACTGTTTTTACATCATAAATATGCTTAAAGCTACTTCATGGACAAATAAAATTTCATAAATTTTAAACTGATGTTAGTCAGTGGTTATAAAGATCACCTATTACAAATATTTATTTTCTTATAATATTACATAGTGCAGACCAAAGTACGCAATTTATATTTTGAGAATTATTTGGGAATCAACTCATTTAATTTGACTATAAGGCTCATGATTAAGAAA